GTAGGCGTGGGGGGCGCATGCGAACGGCACCTCTTGGGCTTAAGTGGGGCCCCCATATTGGGCCACGAAGCGTGTGAGGGGTGTGCCGACATGGGTGCGGGGACGCGTGTGAACGTCACCATTGGGGCCTTGGGTGGAGCTCCCTATGGGGCCACGAAACGTGTGAGGGGTGTGCCGAAATGGAGACGCATGTGGAGGGCAGGGGCAAGGGCTGGGAGGAGGAGGAGGAGGAGGACGAGGAGGAGGAGGAGGAAGGTGAGGGAACTCGGGGCGCTGTCTCTTCAAAGCGAGGTGGATGGTTTGGACAGGTCCGAACTGGGGGGTCAGAAACCAGCCCCCCAACTCCCCCCAGAAAAAAAATAATCCATAAACACGAAAAAAAAAAAAACAAAAAAAAAAAACAAAAGAAAAAAAAAAATTAAAATAGCATATAAAAAAAAAAAAAAAATAACGCAAAAAAAAAAAGTAAAAAAAATAAAAAAATAAAAATAGAAATAAAAAAAAAAAAAAAAAAAAAAAAAATAAAACAGAAACAAGAAAAATAGAAAAAACAAAAAAATGCAAAAAAAAACAACAAAAAAACAAAAATGGTTTGGACAGGTCCGAACTGGGGGGTCAGAAACCAGCCCGCCCCCCGAAACTCCCCCAGAGCCCCCACCCCGCCCCGTAAAGAAACGGGAGGTCCGCCCACATGCCAGAATAATCCCAACCAGCTGGGACTAACCCCTACGAGCTGGTGCTTTCTCCTGCCAGCAGGAACATCAGAACCGGTGCTAACTCCAACGTGCCAAGTAACCTCACAGTGAATTGGTACTTGCGGGGCGATCCTAGTACATCGGCTCGCGAGGATGTGGTACTCAGGATGGGCAACAAAACAAAAGTCCGAGGGAAACATCAACAAAAAAACATCGCCAGACATTCCTGGGAGACGCAACTCAGAGGCACCTCTCACAGACGCCTGTAAGACGCCTCTCAGAAACGCCTCTCAGAGGCGCATGTACACACGCCTCTCAGGACGACTCTCAGGGGCGCATGTCATACGCCTCTCAGAGACGCCTCCCACAAGCGCCTGTAAGACGCGTCCCACAGGCGCCTGTAAGACGCCTCTCAGAGACGTCTCTAGTAGACGCCTCTCACATAAGCCTGTAAGACGCCTATCCAAGGCGCCTGGAAAACGCCGCTCAGAGACGCCTCTCAGCGGCACCTGCCAAACGCCTCTCAAGGACGCCTGCAAGACGCTTCTCCGGGCCGCCTGTAAGACGCTCTCCGAAGCGCCTCTCAAAGATGCCCGTAAGACGACTGTCAGAGATGCCTGTACAATGCCTCCCACAGAGGCCTCTGACAGACGCATCCAAGATGGCTGCAAGACGCATGTAAGACGCCTGTGAGGCTTCTCATGTAAGTTGGTTGGATGTCGTATCAAAGTGACGCCTCACAAAGACGCCTCTCAGGAACGCCGTTCAAAGACGCGTGTAACATGCCTCTGAGAGGCGCCTTCCAGAGACGCTTCTCAGAGGCGCCTCTCAGACACGCCTGCCAGAAGCGCCTGTACGACGCCTCTCAAAGGCGCTTCTAGAACGCCTTTCAGTGCCTGTCAGGTGCGCCTGAAAGACGCCTGTCAGAGACGCCGTAAGACGTTTCCCAGAGACGCCTCTCAGTGGCGCCTGCAAGACGCGTCCCAGAGACACTTGCAAGACGCCTCCCAACGACGCCTTCCAGAGACGCCTCCCAGAGAAGACTCTCCCTGGCACCTGTAACACGCCTCTCAGGGACGCCTGTGGGACGCCTCTCTGGGCCACCTGTGCGGCACGTCTTTCAGAGACGCCTCCCGGAGCCGCATGAACGACGCCTGTCAGAAACACATGTCAGAGACGCCTGTAAAACGCCTGTTCAGAGAGGCCTTTGACAGACGATCGAAATACGACTGTAAAACGCCTGTACAGCGCCAGTAAGACGTCTGTGAGGCTTCTCGTGTAGAGATACCTTGTAGAACGCGTGTAATGTCGGGTAGAATTCATACTGAAGTAATCGGAATTAATACAAAAGTGGTTGGACACACCATGTCTAAAAGTTGTTTTTCTCTGATTGTAATTTGTCCCATTCGCAGGTCCGCCCCCCCTTCTCCCCAGGAGCATCCTTCGGGGGAGTCCAGATCGCCTCACACCCCTTCGGGCCGGAAAAATACTCGACGGGCCCAACCCCTCCCCAGCAACGACGACGACGACGACGGTAGAGGGAAACAATTACTGAACACCCCCCCACCCCCCCAAACTCAACGCTGGCACGCGCGGGGGAGACTGCGGTCGAAGTGCACCCCATCAGACCCACCGCCAACTTTTGAACATTGGGGGGGGGGGAGGCGTTGACAGATGAATGTGGCACGAGTGTTCGCTAATTTGTTCCGAAGCCTGTAGGACCCCTACAGAGGCAAGCTCTGGTTGGGGAATAGGCATGAAACTCGGAGGTCTGCGCGGACTTCTCGGATCGGCGCTGGGGCCCCCTGGCGGCGCCACCTGCGCCGCTCCTGGCGCGCTCCGCGCGCTAGGGAGGGGGTCAGCGCGGATCCAAGAAATCCGCGCGGACCTCCGAGTTGTTACGCTTATGTCATTTTGCGCTCCCCTAAATTAGGGGGATGCAGTTCGGCGTCGATCCCACTCGAATTGCACACAACTGAAGGGGCCCTGGGACACGCGAAGAAATAGACACAAATAGCAGGATTCCCTATATTCTCCCATATTTTCTGCGTTTTCTGTCTTCCCCCACACTTCCCATACTTTCCCATATTTTCTTGAGAATCGACGATTAATTGTGTCAGTATTATTTTTTTCCCTCTCCTGAACAACTAGGACTCGATCCAACTGTAAAGGAACAGGCTGGAACCAGCTCTGATCAAATCCAATTCCGGGTTCGCTCCATGCCAAAACGAGTCCTACAGAGGCTCGGTCCAGCTTTCGCAGAAACCTACTAGGGGCCAACCCAGCTCTGATGGAGTCCTAGCAAGGCACAGTCCAGACCCAAAATCATTTCATTCGTGCTGGATCTAGCTCACATAGAATGCCACGAGGGCTCGGTACAGCTTGAACAAGGTCCTACGATGCTTGAATCAAATTCTTGAGACATTGCACAAGGGGTCGATCCAGCGTTGATAGGCATCCCCGTGGAGCTGTGTCTATATCCGATGGATTCCTGCTGAAGTCCAATCCAACTCTAATGCAATCTTACTCGGTCTCGATCCAGCTCTAACGGAATCCTGCTAAGGCCCCATCCAGCTTTTACAACGTCCTTCTTTGTGGTCGGTCCAGCTCTCTCAGAATCCTACGAAGACTTGACTCAAATCTGATCGAATCCGACTCGGGCTGGAAACATCACTAATGGAACCGTGGTAGCAGGGCTGCACCCTCCTTAATAGAATCCGAATTAGGCTTGATCTAGCTCTAAGTTCCATCCCAGTACTGCTGGGTGCAGCTCTAAAATATTCAAATCAAGCCTGAAGCCAGGTCTGATGGAATTCTGCGAAAGCTCGATGCACCGTTCACGCAAAAGCTGTGCAGAGTGAGATCCAGAGCTCAGAGAACCCTACTAGGGCTCGATCCATCTGGAAAAGAATCTCACTGAGGCTGGATCCAACTCTAATGGAATCCTACTGGGGCTCAGTAAAACTAAAAAAGAACCCTACAAAGGTTCGGTCCAAATTTAATCCCATCCCACTGAGGCTCGATTGTCGTCGGCGTCGTCGTAGGCGTCTTCGTCGTCGTCGTCTTCGTCGTCGTTGCCGTCATCGTCGTTGTCGTCCTCGTCGTTGTCATCGGCATCGCCGTGGTCGTCGTCGCCGTCGCCGGCGTCGGAATCTGCGTCGTCGTCGTCGTGGTCGCGGTCGTCGTGCCTTGTCCGCCGTCGTTGTCGTCGCGGGGGGGTGCCCCCCCCCCTGCCGGCAGCGGCAGAAAGCGCTCCTTCCGACGGCTTGAGAGACCTCCAAAACCGCCCAAGAGGCCCTGATACAACCCTGGAAGGCGCCAAGAGGTCTGCCTCCAGGAAAAGGGGGGGTTCGGCTCCGCGGGAGGAGGGCGTCTCCCATTGGATTGACATCCGAGCTCCGATCGTTCGACGAACGCACTGGCAGTTATGGGCTGATGTTACCCCGCTCGGGCCAAGCCCCTCCTCTCCCCTGCAAGCGCCGCCCCTGAACAAACTCGGTCCGCTTCTCCTGCTCGCGGTGGGCCGCCCGACGCCTGCAACGTCAAACACGGCACACAAAACGGAACGCACCCCGGAGGAAACGAGTCCCGGACCCGAGGCCTTGACATGTGGAACATTATTGCTCATCCTGCGTCGTTTCCTGGTCCAGGCGGTCACCTGGGGCATCTTCAAGCAAATTAGATGTCGAAAGACTTCCTTTACAGTAGGGGCTCGACTACAAGAAACCTTCCACAATAAACCCCACCCTGAGACCTGCAGGGCGTCCACTGACTTTTACTGTGTCGGAACGTCGCGCTATCCTCAGCCAAACCATCGAGACCCAAGAAACCCAGGGCACCCTGGAGGCAGGCAGGGTGCTTCTTGGCATGACTCCACTGTATTTCTTGTCCTTCATGACCTCGTTTCGTAATAGTGGGCGCTTCGCCTGAGACGTGCTTACGAAACTGGGATGTTGAGATCGCTTACGCAATTGTCATCGTCGGAGCTTCGGACATAAAACTTCAGCCTGAGACATCCCGAAAACGACAGCGAAACCAGCCCATCCGTTAGATGCTCATTCTGGGGACCTTCCTGGAGCCACTCGCTCCACTCGTGCGTCGAACCTGAGTCGATCCTGAGTCGAACCTGAGTCGAATCTGAGTCGAACCTGAGTCGAATCTGAGTCGAACCTGAGTCGAACCTGAGTCGAACCTGAGTCGAACTTGAGTCGAACCTGAGTCGAACAGATCAATTAGGTGGGCCCCAGGAAGGTCCCCAAGACGAGCATCGAACATACGCCTCCCTCGTCGGAGTCGGGCGGGCGCCTCGACGCTGGTGCTCTTGGTCTCCTCGGCCTCCTCGGCCTTGCCGCCCTCCGCCCCGGTGGCATTCGCCTCCTCGGCGACGGTGCGACTGGAGCTGTCGTCCTGCGGAGCACAAGGTGAGCGACGAAAGGAAACGGATCTCACTCGAGAAGACAACGCGACCTTACCTGGCCATCGCTCGGACGTCCATTCCCTATGTTTTTTTCGGTTTCGTGCGTGGTTTTTTCGCCAAATGATCAAGGATGCTCCTCGATGGTCCTCGCCGAAGGAAAAATGCACACGTCCGAGCGATGCCAAGTTACTCGGCGGCTTGCTTACGCGGGCCGCCAGCGCGGCACGCCACAGTGGAGGCGATGCAGCGCACGCGCGACCTTACGCGGGAAGGTTACGCGCCAGTGCCGGCGCAGTCAGCCTCGTGTTCTTACGTCGCTCAAGTGAAAGCACATCGTGTCACCAAAGGGCCATGCGATGCCTTCAAGACGGATTCAACGGACATCGAAGCCTCCAAAAAGATGATCCTAAGAGGCCCGAATCGTTCAAACACCTAAAATGTTTGAACGGAGGCATCAAGATGGCCGCAACATCGCCCAAGACAGAACTCAACAAGGAGCCCCGATGACCACAAACAGGGCTTCAAAGTCTCCGACGAGGGCCCAAGATAATCCCGAAGGCCTCCAGACAGATTCCCTGAAGTCTCCCCGACGACCAGGCGGACTCCTGGTTCCTGTGCACCTCCGACGAACTCCCAGGTCAACTCTACGTGGAGGCGCTCTCGGCACCCTTACGGGAGGCGCTCCAGGCCCCAGAAGAACTTGCGAGAAGGGCCCTTCGAGCATGCGCAACAGGCAGGGCCAGGTTATCTGGGACTCTTGACAAACAAAAACAGCCTCTTGACCCAAGGGGTGCCTCCGAGGAGGCCTCCGCGTCGACCCCACGGGAGGCCCTCCAGCTTCCACGGGAACAGCAAACACGAGAAAAAGCGGACGTATACGGCAAGCTCGGGTCGTGCCGACCACGGCGTTGGTCCCTCACAACGTGGGGACCGTTCAATCTTGAACGATCGGCCGCTTCCGAAACGTCAGACAGATCGCTTGACCGCAGTGAGCAATGAAGAACCCCCCACGCGGTTCGTTAGTTGGCACCGCGCCGTAATCAGATAATCCTTGGGGGTGGTTTTCTTGGGGGGGGGCTTTCTTGCTTGCCTCTCAGAGTTAACGTCGACAGCTAATCCTTGGGGGCGATTCTCTTGGGGGGGCCTTTCTTGCTCGCCTCTCAGGGCTCACGTCGACAGCTAATCCTTGGGGGCGGTTCTCTTTGGGGGGGGGGGCTTTCTCATGCTCGCCTCTCAGGGCTCACGTCGACAGATCATCCTGGGGGGCGGTTTTCTTGGGGGGGGGGCTTTCTCTTGCTCGCCTCTCAGGGCTCACGTCGACAGATAATCCCTGGGGGGCGGTTTTCTTGGGGGGGGGGGCATGAATTTGCTCGCTTAAGGTTGTGGACTCATCCTCCATTAGGGGACGCCATCCCATTTCACGAAAAACCTGATTTTGTTTATTCTTCCCTCCCCACACACACCCCCTGTTCACCCACCCAGCCCCCCACCCACGCTTTCCATTTCTTTTTTTTTTTTTTTTTATCTTTCTTGCCTCATAACACCCCACCGCCTCCCTTCTTTGCCACGTCGACGCTTCTAATGTGTCGCCGGCGGCGCCCGACGCGGACCGCCAACCGGCGGGGTGGTAGAGGCGGCGGATTCTGTCTTAATTTTTTCTTTCCTTTTTTATTTTCTTCTTTTTATGTTTTGTTTTCTTTTTTTTTTTTTTTTTTTTTTTTTTTTTCTTTTTTTTTTTTTTTCCGGCGGGGGGGGGGCCCCCCACCCCCCCCCCCACCAAAATGCACACACCCGCTCTTCCGGGGCGGATCCGGCCGGCCGCGGCGACGAGAGACGCCTCCAGGTGACCGCTTTCGGCTCTGTCCTGGGCAACGGTCGTTACCCTGAGGCTGAGACCTCAGGGGGTTCTCTTCTGTCCTCTTTCCTGGCCTTTTTTTCTGTTCTCTCTTCCTGGGGAGGCTGAGGCTTCTCGTGCTGAGGTTATGTTATGTTTTTTCCCCCGCTGTTTCCTTTTCAGAGGGGGGGGGCCCGGGTAACGGTCGTTATAGGGGGCCACATGCGAATCCTACCCCACCCCCCCACGATTTCTGAGGGGGAGGGTGGGGTTCACTTCGTTCGGGAGCTCCCAAGCGACGCAGGATGCTGCAAGATCCTCGAGGAGACTGCGCGTCAGCCCGGGCCAGTGCCCCCCTGGGGGTTTGGAGGCTTCTTGGGCGGCTACTTGGGCGGCCTCTTGGGCCATCTTCGGGCCCTCTTGGGCCGTCTCGTGGCTGTCCCATGGGGACGTCTTTACTTGAACCGTTTCAAAGTAGAGGGCTGCGTCGGCCGTCTTGGACGGTCGAAATGGGCACGGAACAAATGGGTACAATGCCCAACAGCAAATGTTGTCCCGAACCAACAGCGGCCGCTGTTGGGCAGGCGGCCTTCTGGACACAGGCCGCGGCGGCGCGGACAGCGAGTCCTGTTCAAAATGAGCAGAAGCTGCAGTTGGGCATTGTACCCATTCTTTCCGTACCCATCTCGTCCGTGTAGAAAGAAGACTGCGCGCCAGCCCGGGTCAATGCACCCCTGGCTCTGCAGCATCCTGCAAGATCCGGCGCTCTGGCTGGCCCCCGTCTGCAGCGACCCCCCCGTCTCGAGGCCCCCGGCCGATGCAAGACGAGCCAAGCCGCGGAGGCCTGCTCCGACCCTGGAGCGGCCAAGAGGGGGGTGTCCAAGAAGGGGGGGTGCGAATCGCGACCGGCGGCACGTGCGCGGCCCGGCGGGGGGGCCAGGGACGTCATGAGATAAGAAGAGGCGCCATGAAATCTGGGGAAACATCATGGCCCCCGCCATGATATCCACCCCCCCCTAGTCATCACCCCCCTCTTTTCCGCCCCCGATACTTTCTGACCACATCCCAAAACTTCGAGCACCCAGCACAGCATCGGAACAGCTTCGAACGAGTCTCGCCTCCCAGGGACCGACACGTGAAAGCCCTCCAGTTTCGGCATCCATTCTTGGTGCTCGAGATTCTTTCTGGCAGTCAAGGCCTTTGTGGGCCCCGGAAACGGCAAGGCCGTTTTTTCACCGTTTCCGAAAAAATGTCCCTTGAAAATGGAAACGGCAAAAAAACGGCGACCGGAAACGGCTCCGGGATTGGAACCGGAGACGGAACCGGTCAAAAAAAGGCAACGGAACCGGTAAAAAAACAGCGTCGGAACCGGCAACAAAAACGGCAGAACGGAACCAGTAAAAAAACGGCCCTGTCGCTTCCGGGGCCCACTAAAGTCAAGGCTACAGCAGGTTGGAACATCAGAGCCCCGGAGGCGAGGAGCAACGAGCTCGGACGCCCCGGCGCTCCATCGCCCACGCCCCCGGCCCTCCTCCCCTCCCTCCTCGACGCTGGCGCGCGGCTGGCCATCGCTCGGACGTCCATTTCCTGTGTTTTTTTTTCTTCGGTTTTTGACGGTTTTTTCGCCACATGATAAAGCATGCTTCGCGATGGTCCTCGCCGAGGAAAACATGCACACGTCCGAGCGATGCCAAGGCGGGCGGAGGCAGGAGAGGAGCGGGAGAGGCAGCGCAGGGGAAGGACTGCGGAGGGGGCACGGATCCTGGACCCTGGGGTTAGGTCGGGCATGTCCTCCTACAAGCGGATTTTGCTCGCCATCGCTCGGACGTCCATTTCATATGTTTTTTTCAGTTTCGTGCGTGGTTTTTTCGCCAAATGATCAAGGATGCTCCTCGATGGTCCCCACCGAGGAAAAAAGGCACACGTCCGAGCCATGCCAAGGCGGGCGGAGGCAGGAGAGGAGCGGGAGAGGCAGCGCAAGGGAAGGGATGCGGAGGGGGAACGGGTCCTGGACCATGGGGTTAGGTCGGGGATTTTGGAGGAAAAATGAAAAGTAAGCAAAGAATGAAAAACAAAAATAGCAAAACAAAACTGAAAAGCCGTGCCCGATCATTTTTTAACTGTGTTTGAATATGCCTCCTGTAGAGGGACGTGCCCGACATGACCCTGAGGCCTTCCCCCAGGGCCAGCATTCCGTCCTGAGTCGTTTCCCGACGTGGACACGTGCGTTCCACTACTCGCTGAATTAACTACTCGCAGATGGCCTGGATCCGCCGCGGGGGATTTACGATACCTTACATAGAGGAACCTATGATGTTCATGCCGTTTGCGAGTAGACACTTTGCCAGTTTGGCGGTGGACAAACCTCCCTTTAGCAAACCTCCCCTTAATGAAAACGGCCTGGGACCGATACCGGCGGACCTGGGCCCACGAAAGAGACGGCCGCGACGCCCTCTCGCGAACTGACAACGGCCAATTCCTCGATCGACGTGTCAGGGTAGGAGGTCGATCCACCTCCGAGACGTCGGGATGGAGAAAACATCGGGTCCGAGCCGCGCCGCACCTCCGATGCCTCGGCGACGTGGCGCGGGCCCCATGATGGAGGACCTCACCTGCAGCCAGCGGAGCCCTGCCCTGGGATCCCCTGGATGCCGACGAGAGCCCTCGGGCGGGCGACGATCCACATGTCACCAATCGACGTGTCGCTGTTGGGGGTTCTGTCCACCGCTCCTCGACAGACCCGAACGCGACTACGAGACGGCGGATATGCACGCCCGGTGATCTCCCACGATTTCTGAGGGGGAGGGTGGGTTCACTCCGCTCGGGAGCTCCCGAACGGAGTGAACCCCACCCTCCCCCTCAGGAATCGTGGGGGGCAGGGGTGGGGTTCGCATGTGCCCCCCCTAGCCCTCTCGCGAACTGACAGCGTCCAATTCGCCGATCGACGTGTCGGGGCAGGAGGTCTGCCCACCTCCGACGCGATGGCCTGCGGGCCCGACGCAGGGCGGCGGCACCCCGCGCGGACACCGCCCGCGGCGCCCGGACCTCTCGGGGTGCCCCCCGCCGGCCGCGGGGGCCCAGGCGTGCGGCGCCTCGACTCTCTGGCGGCGCGCAGAGAGGTTGGGCGCCCGAGTTATCCGGGGTAACTCGGGTCCG